TGTTACGAATTTTATCTGCATTTATTTGCATGATTACTCATTTCATTCTGAATTATTCATCACTTTATACAATGCGAAGGATAGTTTACACCTGTCAATACATTCTTTACTCCCCACTTAGCAACAGGCCACACGTTGAAGCATGAAAGCAAACGGATGATTTAACACAAGTTTCCTTCATCCAGCACGTGATTCATACAACCCTGTGCCGTGTTTCCACTCTGAGGGAGTGAGTTAAAGCTGACACAGATTTCTGTTTAACATTAAACGTATTTAATCCCTGCTCAGGAAGGTTTTGCTTCCTGAAGAGCTGCCTGACGACAAGCGAGCTTCTCTGTTTTCTGTTGTGATGACACGAGACAGAGCGACGTGGGTCAAAAGTGTTGTATAATTATCTTAATTTATCATTTGTTCTACGAAAAACAGCAAAAAGCAAAAGAATTCTGGCACCAGATAAACACTAGAACCCTCTGTGATCCATCCCAGAGCTGAATTAGCCTCAGCGGGGATCTCAGGCAGTGACAACCAAACATATTTTTATTAACACTATTCATCCGAGGTTTCATGTGTAAAAATAGGTTTTGTTCTGTAACCCAAAATATTTTTTATTTTATTTCATTTTTATACAAGATTTGTTGTTTTTGCGAGCACCACTTCTAACAGGCTGTACACGGTCATGATTGTACGGTTGTTTCTTTGAACATTATTTTCGTATTTTTCTTACTACACAGCAGCTAACTCGAGGAATTACAACCTGCTAATTGACCCAAACGATTAAAGACAGTTTCCTAAAGCGTGACTGGTCCGTCTGTACAATCCGAGGATGGCGTGTGTGAACAACTTTGGCAGCAGACATGAGGATTCTCCGTTAAGAACGCTCAGAGAGACGACGACGAATGTCACAATTCTCAGAAACAAAAATAAAATCTGACATTCATGATTATCGTATGTGCGATGCAGCGTTTCATTCAGTAGATATTTACAGGAAACAACCCGACACGTGACCTGAACGTCCTGCTTTCCTGCTCAGAGCTTGAAGGTCAGCTTCACGTGTCAACCCTAAACGGAAAAAGAAAAAGGACCTCAATCAAGTCCTCTAATTAAAACGTCAGCCTGTGATAGGCAGCGCCCCCCTTTTTTTTTTTGCGCAAACTCTGATGAACTAATTAAAAGCTGATGAACTGATTAAACCCGCAAAACTTTCTACCACAGCTTCCCTTTGCTGTAATTACACGAGCATGTACATACAAGAAGAAACCCGGTTGCCGATCGATCCATCATTCACCTGACCTTCACCGCTCAGTCAGGGAGGGCGGCGCAGGGGAACAAATGGACCTCGCTATGTGGAATAGCTTATATATATATATATATGGGTTTGTTTCCCTTGTCTTGCTACCACAGAGTGACAGAACTAAAAGTGCAGATATAACCCCATCAGCCATAACATTAAAACCACTGACAGGTCATCGGGGTGACACGTACGAGGTGTGTGGAAAGCAGGACAAATGTGTTGGTGGTTCGTAGCTATAGCATAACCTGCTGAAAACCATTATCCTGCTTTGTCTGGAGGTGTCAGAGCCCCTGTCCATGCCGACTCCTGTCCACTGAAAACAGCCAGTGGAGGCAGGGAGGTGTTCTAGATGATGTTCTACTTGAAAACCTCGAGTCCTGCCTTCATTACAGTTGTTATTCCTCCACCTAAACATTGCTGCAGACCATGTCCGCCCCTCCACAGCTGTGATATGCCCCACTGGCCTCTTCGGCAGGATGATTGTCTTTACACTGCTCAGGAGGGGTTCGAGGAGCATGACAAAGAGCTTGAGTTGTCTACTTGCAACTTCTCGAGATCTCAGTCCAATCGAGCATCTGTTCAATGTTCCGGAAAACAAGTCCAATCATGGAGGCCTCACGTCGCAGCTTACAGGATTTAAAGGATCCGTCTTGTTGCCTGATACCACAAAAGACACCTTCAGGGTCTGTGGAGGCTTCGGCCAATCAAAAGGGACACGATAGTGGTTTTAATGTTGTGGCTGACGGGCGTATGTGTACGAAGCTGTAAATTAAAGCTTTAAACTGAGGTTCTTCTGTAAAAGTGTAAAAGCCCTCCGTTGATCCAGTGAGCTCTGAGTAAAGTGGCGTACCTGGAGAGAGTCGTAACAAAGAACAGAAGGTGCTGGACAGTAAGCCCCAGCAGCTGTGTCTACATTCACTTTCTACGATGTGATGTAAGATATGAGAGGAAAAAAAACAAAAAAAACACTGACAGCTTCCCGCTGATGGTTCTGGCTTCTCAAACTTAAAGCACGATTCCAGCAAAACCCCTTCACCTCCTCTGCATCTACGCTTACTGCACGCTACAGAACCTGTGAACCTGACCCGGTTTCTCCCTCATCTCCGGTGTCCCTTCTGCTTCTTGTTCCTCGCGGGCGTTTTGATCGGCTGACTGGCGGCTCCGTTTTCCAGCGGAACCCGAAACGGAGCCGCTGGTGGAGAAGTGGGGGAGAACAGGTCCGGCTCTCCGTCAATGCTGCACTTGAAGGGTCCGGCCGGGGAGAACTTTAGAGGACTGGAAGAAACAGACAAAGAAAAAAAAAACCACAGTGAAGCTGTAAAAATATATAGAAGAAGGTCAATGAGCATATTTATCTTCTGGATCTCAAACAGACACCTCATGTGACACATCGACCGGCCTCTGGGTTGGAATCAGGGTTCTGATTTTTAAAATGTCATTTTGCTTTCTGGAGAAACGTTTAAATAATGCATTTTAAACTGAAGTGGTTCTTTTTGGCAAACTTTTGGGTGATGCAACAGAAACAGTCCTGTTGCCAGA